TCATTCCAACTGTTTATAGCCTAAACAAAATATTGGAAGGTAAACTTTTGAAAAATGCCTTTGACTTCTAAATTTAATTATTAAAATTGCCTAAAGCATGGGAAATAGATTATCCTTAAATTATAAATCATAATATTGGTAATCCTTGCTTAATGACTGGTCATCTTACAATCATCTGAAGTTATGTTTACATAACTTTGTAAATTGTAAATTTACATTTATACTGTAAATGGTTGTGTCACCTTCCTAAGATCATATGTCTGCATGTCAAGTGGATCAGCTCTAGGAATGGTCATGGCATTCCATGGTTCCAGGACAATTTGTGATTTTTTTTTTCTGGTTTCTGGCAAAATAACTCCCAATCAAATGAATGGGTTTATTTAACAACTGTCACAAAAAAGGCCAGAAAATTACTTCTGGTTACAAGGGTTCATCAACTTACAACCATTATATCACTTATGAATATAATTGAGCCCAGAACTGCAGTCATAAGTCGAGCACTACTTGTAAGCAATTAATAGGATCATAATGACTCGGGCCGATGCCTCGTGGCAATGTCTCCCCAGGGAGTCAAGCCACCTGCAGGGAATCAACGAGGGGAGCTAAGAAACCTAAAAGGAAGAAAATAAAATAAGGAAAGGTGTAAAAGGAGTAAGAGAGGAAAATAGCACAATATTTAAGGAGAGATTCAGAAGCACGTCTTGTTCAAGAGGCGGGACTTAAACTTTGCAGACTCAGTTCTATTAGATGGTATGTGAGAATAACCCACACAAATATGCTGTCTCCACTGAGTCAGGAAAAGTATGTATGTATGTATGTATGTATGTATGTATGTATGTATGTATGTATGTATGTATGATTTATCTATATGTAACTATTGATGGCTGATTTGTCTGAATGCCATGCTTACAGGAATTCCCTAGTGTTTTTTGTTTTTTAGCCTAGTCTACCATGTTCAGTTTCCCTGCATTCTAAGCTAAGGAGGAAACAAAAAGACAGAGCATACCTTCTTCAACAGTCTGCAACCAGATAAACAAATCAAACAATCAAGCAGAAATTAATACCTTAATCAAGGATTTACAAAGAGAAAACTGCACTCCTATCAACAATGGCAGCGCAAGTCACTGTATATGTTTGTGTGTGTGTGTGTGTGTGTGTGTGTAAAATAGTATAATGTCACACATAAGTTGAATCCTATAATAACAGAAAAGAAGAATTTCAGACTAACAGCTGTTTCCTAAACTGGCTTGTCTGGAGATTTAATTTAGATTGTTTTTGATATGTATATATCTAAAGTAATTCCAAGAAACAGAGATGATGGGTTTTGTATCCCATTCATGGAAGCATTCTATATAAAGCTAGATTTAAACAATAGGTCAGTGCTTAAAAATAGACATATTGTTGATTCTCCACAAGTATTTTTCTATGGAAATATATCCAAGTTTGATTTCATGTAATGAAACATTAGGAATAAAAAGAATCACTGATATGAACTAAATATAAAAAAAGGTTCTGCAGATTATATAACATTTTAAAATATTCAAAGATTAACTTTTAAAACAATGAAAAATAAAATAAAAATTCAAGAGAAATAGTGAAATTGTTTAAAAATTTCAAAACAAACATATTTCTATTTCTATAAAGTGATTAGTGAGCATATCACACTTATTAATGTGCTCTATAAAGTATTCATGCTATACTAAAGACTAAGAGTCAATAAGTCCAAAAGAGAATTAACACAACAAAGCAGATCTACAAGTGTTAATAATGATACTAAAAAGTTTATAAACTTATGACCATTCATTTAATGATGATTCAAAGTTACAACATCCTTGGAAAAAATGAATTATGCCTCCTCCTCAAAGTTACAATCATCATACCACCCCGTGGTGAGTGATCACAATTCAGACACTTGGCAACTGGTTTGCATTTATAACATTGCAGTGTCTTCTTGTCACAAGAATGTGATTTGCTACCTTTCCAGGCAGCTTCCAAAAAGCAAAGTCAATTGGGAAGTCTGATTGCCTAAATATAGTAAAAGTGGTTGCAAAATCGGGGCTGGCCATGTGATGATTTGTTTAACAACTGCATCACTTGGCAACCACAATAGAAGTCTCAATTGTAGTCATAAGTCAAGGACTACCTGTATTTTTCCAATTCCAAATGTAAATATTTTATAGATACAATGCATTTGTATACAATTACAGATACAATAAAAAGTTACTTTATTTTTATTTTCATAAAAAAATATCCAATGGACCATTAATTTAGGCTATCCTAGATAGTCACTGACTCAGCTCCTCAAATAATAGGGGAAACCTAACTAGAGTGCTTTCAAGAACCAATGTGTTTTTGAGGGAATTGGAAGCTCTTTGATAGTGTGCTGAAAGCAGTAAGACATTTTGTTTTCCAAGACTCTGAAGCACTGAGTGAGTTCAGAAATATCCAATCTTTATCCAAGCTCAGGCCAATGGCCTTTGGATTCCAAAGAATTGTATACATTTTTTTATCAATGTAACAATTAAAACCTTAAGCTAAGACTAAAACACACATTACAGGTAGTGCTCAACTTACAAGCAAAGTCAATGGGGACACCAGAGGCACTTAATAACCATATAATTAACTTAACTGCAGGGGTTCACTTAACAACTGTGGAAAAAGGTTGTAAAATGAGGCAAAGCTCATTTAACAACTGTCTTGCTTAGCAATAGAAATTTTAGACTCAATTTTGGTCATAGGTTGAGGACTACCTGTAGTAGCGAATGCGAGTTATAAGCATGACTTTCACCTATAAGCAACGTTGTTTACCTACTGAATTTCAAACAAACCACAGTTTCTAGATATTTTTAAAAGTATCCTTAGTAAAGAATGCAAATTTAAAAAGGTATGTGGGCAAACACAAATAACTATTGCCAAATCAACCAAGTCAAGTATAGACACAACCAATATATATCCTTCCTACACAGACTTAATCATAATATCTAAGTAAATTGAAACCAGGCAACATTGTCAGGCTGTTCACTTGAGATTAAATAAAGAATACTTTGAGATAGTGATGGTATATTGTTATTGATGAGTATATTGTTATTTAGTACATAAGGTACATTAGATCATGGGTTAGATTTCCCAAACATGAAGCCCTCCAAATGTGTTAAACCAGGGGTCTTCAACCTTTCCAGCTTTGTGGTCCAGCAGAGTGGGGGAGGGAGATGGGATGGCTCCACACATGCAGTGACTGTCTGCACTCATGTGCACTTCATTTACATAAGTGACAGGTACCCCCCACTCACACAAATAGAACTTCCCGTGGTGCAACACATCTTGAGTTTTTCAAATTGAGGGAATTTGTTATAAACAAGCACTGAAGCATAGTCTTCCAATGCTACCTTTTGGACACAAGATAGAACTAGGATATACTGGCCTCTAATCACCTGCAAAAACTTCTTAGAATAAGAGAACAATCCTATATCATCCATCTAGGTAATCAGAATAGGTTCAGTTTCATATCAATAACCAGACAACCATCAGATTACCATGGCTCAGATATAAGGAATCATAAAAATATTTCTAGGATTATAACCTTATTCCGTAATGTTCCCTTGTGTTAAAGTAATAACATAAAAAGGACAAGAATTTCAACCAGCAACAGATCTTGTTGATAATCTTGCCTTTTCATGATTCATTGCCTTTGGAATATATTCCTTTCCACTGGTCTTCTAAATCACTTTAGCAGTGCTGTTAAAGCTTTTAGGGATGGTGGTGATGGTGGTGGTGGTGGTGTGTGTCTCTGTGTGAATTAAATGATGGCCAAAGATCAAAAATGAATGTAATAGTTAAGTAAAAGAAGGGAGACTAACAAAAAAAAAATAAACTAAAGAATTATCTAAACAAGTTCTCTAGACAGCAATAAATTATTCAGTAGGTATTTCCAGTATTAAGTTTACAGAGGCAGCAAAACATCTAAAAGTCTTCTTCTTTTGTACATAGGACAAAAAGGAAGTTTAAGAAATAATTATGTAAACGTTCTGTTGAGAAAAAAAATTGTTATAGTACAAATAAGCTTTGCTTTGCAAGTCCAAGGACACTTCTATCTCTAGAGCAGCTCTTGTATAATAAAGTCATAAAAAACTGCATTCAGAGGCCACTGTAATTCAATGAATATGCCTTTCCTCCAGGAAGAAATTTATAAGCAAACTGAGAATCAACGTAGATATGGGAGGTGCCTCTCTGTGAAATAGATTTGTTCTATGGCAGTTATGCATTTGCTTATGAATTCTTTATTATTAATTCATTCTGTTTTTAACTATGTTAGGACTTATTTTTTATCATAAAGGAAAGCTCTAAGCCTAACAAAGAAGTAATTCTTAATTGTTCATAGTTAACACAGATATCAAGTATCATATATTTATTATGTAGTCATTGCAGGCTGAAAAAAAAATAGCATTCAAGCTTATTAAACTTTCTACAAAGTTTTGTTGGATATTGTGTCCCACAGAATACAAGATTATACACCATTGTCTTCAGCAACAGTTGTTTTTGTGTAACACTACTGTTCACCAAAAGTAATCAATTAAGCAAATATTATCAATATCCAGACTGTCTTTTGTGACAATGCAAAAATCCACATCAGAGACTTGACTTTAAATGGTTAGATCTGATGCTCTATTCTAAAATACCAATAAAAATGAAATTAAATTTAAATGTTGCATCGTATGAATAATATTCATACTACCAGGAAAATTGTTATTTAGAAACTTTTTCCTGATGTAAAAGCAATTTATCATATCAGGCAGTTCTTATGCCAATTTTCTGATTCTTTTACTCATTCTTCACTCAATATGACTTAAAGGGATGCATAGTCTAGGACAGTGATGGGCAACCTTTTTGGCGTGGTGTGTCAAAAATCGGCAAAAAATCGAGCATAACTCGCGTTGTGTGTCACTTCGACAAAAACATAATTTTGCGCAATTTATAGTTTAAACTACAAAAATGGCGCTCACAGTTCCCGTTGGCACTCCGCTGTTCCCTGCTGTGGTCCGGTCATAACCGACAGTCCCAGGAGTAGACTCTCTGTGCCAGC